AAAACCAACCAACAATCACCTAGTCAAGTGTTTAGGGTGGAAAAATATCACAAATCAAGATGAGATGGACATGGCATGTCTCCTGCCTGGAATTCCTGGGAAGGTTTGTTGGTGGCATGCCTGGTCATGTAGTGCTGGTTGGACACAGGGCCAGGAGCGTGCTGTTCACCCAGCAGCCTGATCCCCATCCTTCCTGTGGCCGAAGGAGATGCAGGTGAAGCCTGGGTGGGGCAACTGCAGGTGTTAGGAAAGATCACTTATGCCCACAGGTCACTTCCCCAGCAAGGTGTACCTTGTTCCAGAGGTGCTAGAGCCCTCCCCAGTGGCATGGGACCTCAAGGGGGTTGAGAAAACCCTTGGAGCAAATAAGGTGAATGGCACCAAACTTTCTGGGGAATCCATTTTGGGGAATGTTGCCCACCCATAATTCAGAGCCACTCTTTGCAGCGAGGCAGTGCAGGCAGGCAGAGCAGTGTTCGTGTCAGGATGGTGCAGGTCCCTCTGCTGTGCTACAGCTGAAGCCCCTAACATGGAGAAAGAGAGCCTCAGTTGCAGGGCTGAGCAGGCAGGGTCAGATCCTGCCACAGTTTTGACTCACAACTAGACACACTCCATACTTTTCAAGTTGCAGAACTTAAGCTTTTTGCATTTCAGCTCTGCAAATGCTAGTCAGTGGTTTAGCCACTTTTCATCTGTTAAACTTCTTGGGTTTATCCATGCCCCATCCAGAGTTCCACCCATTAAACTCTATTTTTACTGCCTTTCCTCACTTGTAAGTGGAGGAGGTCACCTTCAGAGAGGCTGGTTCAGAGAACAGTGGTAGTAGCCATGGAGTGCCCTATCCAGTGAAGTCTCAAATTAAAGATAGGATGGTTCTGAAAAGCATGATAAAATCTTTGAAAATTAAGATAATACTAGTGCAGACCCAAACCTGCTGCTAGTGTGAGATTCAGAAGTGTTGCTGCTGAACAGCAGTTCCATGCCAGGAACCTGCAGCAGCTGCTGTGGGTGCAGATCCATCCTTCAGCTGATCCTACAGCATGGGTTCTGGACTCCTCCAGTTCTTGGACTCCTTCACCTCTGCATCACCAGGATTTCCTCAGCATGGTCATTAACAGCTCACACATACCTGCCACACCTTGCAGCACACGCCTCTGCATTCCTCACCCTGCTCCAAGACATGCTTTGTTCATGGGCTCAGCTCTCAGAGCTCCCACTCACCCTGTGATTCACATGGGATCAGGTTATATGAAGTGCTGGCAAGTTGTGGTCATGATGGATTTAGCCCCAGCCCTGTCCTTGAAGGAACAGATCCTGTCACCTAACCAGTACTTTTGGCAGGTATTTTACAATTTGTATAAAGAAAAAATGTACTGGAAATACCTTATCTGTAGTGAGAATCTCTGGACCTCAGAACACATAGAAATCCAGCAATGTCCATTGTTTGACATGCTTTTGTCTGTTCTATAACCTGTGACCAGAGTTCATAAGCTTTCTCCCAGCCTGTGCTCAGCTTTTAAAGCTTTTCCTGCCGTCTCTCACATTTGCCAAGTCTCCAGTCCCCGAGTGCTGCCAGTATTTACAGCTCTCGAGCTGTTGGGGCCAACAGCTCTGTGTGCAGGGATGCAGTACCTGGGAGCTGTGATGGGACAACTCAGGGCCCCAGCACCTGACCCTGGAGGGTGCCTGGACTCTGAAGCTGGCACAGGCCAGATGGAAAATGGTCCCATCTCCCCCTTTCTCATTGATGTTCTTACACAGCACAGCAAATCAAAACCTCAGACCAGCACAACTCCTAATGTTGCTTGTTCTTCAGTCTAGGGGGGGAAAAAGGAGTCCCAGCTCCTATTTTCCACATGAGTGGGAAGCAGTAGTGGTTGGCAGACCAGTGGCTGGTTTCTAGACTTGGCCAAGAGAAAGATCTGAGTCCTTGCTTAATATTAAAAATCTTGGCTTAGGCTGATTTCATTTTCCATTTTTTTATTCTACTTTCAAATTTTATGTCTTTATTTTCAGTTTAATCTTTTCTTTTTAAGGTTTAGCATCATCTGCTTCTCCAATTGCTCTGTCCTTTAGCTAGACTTATGAGCTGCACTTTAAAAGTGGACACTGTGATCATCACAAAAATCCCTCCTTCTGGTATTTTTGCTAGCATCAGTCCCCAGAACATGGGCCTTAATGAAGGGAACAGATTCCCTACTGATGTGCCAGACAAAAGTTCATGGCTTTGTCTTGCTGAAAATGAAGTCTTGATTATTCATGCAGTTCCCAATTAGTCATTCCACACCCTTGAATTATTTCTGACAGATGTGAAATGCCTTGTGCTGAATTCCTACTCCAAGGAACCTTCTGCATGACTGGTTTATCAATGTATGCAAGCAAACTCATGATTTACAGTGCTTCATCATCATGGCATGTGTAACACTGAACACGATGACTAGGGAAACCAGACCCACCTATTTTTGGTCATAGGTTCAGAGCCTCCAAAATCTGCCAGAAGCTGCACAAGGGGTGCTCACACAGGGCTGGTGTGTGCACAGGGAAAGCCAGTGTACACTGAGGATCTCAAGAACGGATTGTCTGAGGACATATAAATTCTCTCTCAGGGGTGATATGGACACAAGTGCTAACCTGAAGGCCCATTTCTGTCACTTTTCACTTTCTTGCTTTGTCTTTGCTGCCGGGAGTGCTTTTCCCACTGGCCATGTGCTCAGCTGAGGTGCAGGTCAGGCGTGGTTCCTGTCCCTGGGCAAGCCCTGGGGATCAGAGCTGCCCAGCAGGGCGGGAATGCCCAGCTTGGTGCCCTTGCCTGCTGCTGGCAGTGCTCTCTGTTTCGCTGCGAGGGAGTTACTGCACATCTCTCCACACATCGTCAGAGGCACACAGAAACTCTCATCCACAGCCTGCACAACACAGGTCAAGGCTGTTTCCCAAAGGCTCTAAGGCTCCTCCTAAAATCAGGGGTCCCCAGGCTGGCCTGAGTACATTTATTTTCTCCTGCAAGGAAAAGGTCTTTCAGGGAACCTTCTCTGAACAGGAGCCTCCTCCAAAGCAGGAGGGCAGTTGCAGAGAGGGTGCTGTGGGGTACAGACAGCTCAGAGCTGCTCTCAGCTGCACCCAGTGTGCACCACGGGCAGGAGCACAGCTCACCTGCAGCCTCTGGGACAGTCTCAGAGCACAGCAGGGCTCGGTCTGCTCAGAGAATCGCTGCCCTGCACGTGCCATGCCTGTACCTCTCTGGAAACAGAGAGTTTCCTCACCAAAGGCAGCTCTGAGCTCCCCGTGGACAGCCCCAGCAGCCGTCCCTGTTGGCACACCTGCACTGAAAGGGCTGACCTGCTCTCACTGCTGCATTTCAGCCGCATTCCTGAGCAGGTGGCCAGGCCTGGCTCCATATGAGGTTCAAGACATTACCTCTGCAATGGGAGATTTAAGGCTCGGTGGGATTCCACATTTTTCTCCTGCAGAAGTCTCTGTCACTGCAAAACGAAATAATAGCACCCAAAGCCATGTTAAGTCATTGTAGTGATTCCAAATCCATGATTCCTCTGGCTAATTAAAAAAGCTCCAAGCTTGCTCCAGGTCTTACAGCTGTGAATTTTGTATTTGCAGTGGTGAAACTCCCCTCTTCTTTTTATCCACAGATGGTCATGATGATGTGTTATTATTCCATAATGAATCATTTTTGTGTCATGTTTGACTTGGTTTGGGGATTTAAATTGCATGCCTCACTGAAGGGAATCTGTAATTGAGATACAAATCTGAGCACCTGTGAAAGACTTCAAGTTTTGTGTACATGCCTAAGTACAAATTTTTAAATGTATGTTTTACTACTTTAAAGGCATCTACACAGGATGTCAGTGGAGGTTGATCTGTCATCACTCTGTCTTGTCAGACCCACTGGATTCTGACAGCTGAACAGAGGCCATTAATTAAAGCTGCCAGGTTTTGTCAGGCCCTTGACATGCTCCCTCGATAATTCAGTCTTATGCATTTCAAGCGTTTGCAGCAGGAACAAGACCAAATCTTTCAATTTCCCTGCTCCATTCTATGCCTCTCTTTCCAGGAAAGAGGATTTATTCCTGCAGCAATAACCCTTTGCATTTTGAAGCGAGGGTGTTGGTGTAACTTGGTTCTGCATTGAGAAGTGCCAGGGTTTGTGATGACTCCTCAAAGGGAAGCTGTGCAAAGGTTCTGGCAGTGACTCCCCACCCTCAGAAAGGTTACAGCAGATAATGCCACAAGTTTTGCAGGAATAAAGAGTTTTTTCTTACTGTTCTAAGAAGGTTCTTTGCTAGAATAAGCAAACAAGAATTGGACCTGACTCCAGGTCCCTCTGCTCCCACAGCTATCCTCACTGGAGCTGGCAACTGCTCCTGGGGAGATATGGCTCTCAGCCAGTCATCCTTAAAGGAGAAGTGTTAGTTTTGCATGTAACTATGACCTATTTTTAAATTTTTGCTATATATACAAATTTACTCTTTATAACGCATCCACAGACCCTTTGGAGTGTATATGATGGAGAGCCAGTGGTCACCCTTAGAGTCATGTTTAGAAAACACCACCTTTGTTTGTTTTACATGTTTATAATTGTCTCTGGCTATATTATTGTTTGTGAATTTCCACGGTAGCTTTCAAAGTAATGGTTTGTCTGGACAGTAACACTGCTAAAAAGCACTTAAAATGTCAAATACAAGAACAGTTGTTTGCTTCTTCTTGCTACTACAACCTACCAGAGATGTTAATCATGCCCCATATTGCTACAGCTTCTAAAATCAAAGTAAAGCCAAATAATGTATAGCCCAGCACAGACATGTTCCCTAATGACACAGAAGTGTGGTGCTCCAGCCCCCCATTTTATAGGAGAAAAGGAGCATATATGATAAGAGGTCAGTGCCAACTTCTCACTTCCTCAGCAGTGACTGCAGTTTTGTGTGGGACAATCTGCTCCTTCCATGCATTGCTCAGAGGTGGATCCTGTTCAGAAACCCCTTCTCTGCCCCCGTGGAACAGAGGGCTAAGGCACCTTCACGTGGAACCATGCTCAACTGGAATGTCACAGATTTGCCTCTGGGGCCAAGCTGAGCTGCAGCAGAGCATGGAGAAGACAGGTTTCAGGTAAGACAGCAGATGCAGTTTGCACACTTGTGAGGGTTGCTGACAGCAGGCTTCCATGTGGAAATCACACCAGTAATGAATGTTCCAGAGGGAATTAGGGCTCCCATGCCTGCAGGGAGGCAGCTATGGAGGCAGGCATCTGGTGTCTTGATGTTCCGGAGGATTTCCCCACAGCTCAACTGGGCTCAGGTGGTGGGCTCAGAGACTCCCTTGCCCTGGGGCATTGTCTGCACAAACTAACACAGTAGCCAGGTCCCTTCTCATGGGCCTGCCCAGGGAATGAGGGACTCTGGGCCTCCTTGGGCCATCTCTCCCCTCAGTCAGCCTGCCTGCGGAGTTTGCCTTTGTGCTTCATGGAGTGTTGGCATCTCACAGGAGCACTGGTTGTGAGCTCGTGCACAGCACGGAGCAGGGTGAGGAATAAGCATAATGCTGAATTACAAGGTGGTGTGAGTAAGAGCATCTGCCAACGTCAGCAGATACACGAGGTCAGCAAGTTTGCATTCCTTCAGGTCAGAGAACAGAACAAGTGTGATCTTATCCCCATGCCAGTTCCCCCACGCTGCACTCACTGCCAGGCTGACGACACCAGCCCTGCTCTGCAGCAAGGGACAGAGAGCAAGCTGAGGGAGCAAACAGGCACGGGCAACCTCCGGGTGAGAATGCAGAGGAGAGCAAGCACACTGGTTTTCCCACAGCATGAAACAGCCAGGCTCGCAGCATGTACTGCCAAACCCATAAATGTTCCCTTGGGAAACCGGACTGCATTTATGAGGGACTGTGAGATCTGGTGTCTGCTCACCTGGGGAGCAGAAGAGGTATTCTGTTTAAAGTAATGGATCCAGTCTGGTGTCCAACCCTGCCACGCCATCAGGGAGAGGACAGCATAGCAGAGGAATTGCATTTTCCTTCTCCTCACTTGTTATTCTGTTTGGTCATGTATTAATTCTTAAACTCAACTCTTTTAATTATTTTTATAACCCTTACTAAGGTCACTCTGAATATTACTGTTATCCTTATAAATACACAACCCCCTTTCTCTAGAAATTTTAGCCATCCAGCTAACATGCCCTATGACTTTGAAATCAGTACAGAGAATTTATCAACAGAATTTAAAATTAAATTAAATTTAGGATGAAAGCTATACCTTACACCCTCAAGGCTTATAAATTTAGTCTTTTCCAAGATATAAGTGCATGTCCCCAAAATGAATGTAATTCTGAACATTTCTTATGTTGTCAGACAGAACAAGACAATTTCAGAGGCAAACATATGTGTGCAAAAAAAAAGTTATGGTTACAAAGGCACATCCTGGATTACAGAAAACAAATATCATATCATACAGAGATTTCCATAAGGGTGGGAATTGCTCAGGATTGGCATGGGTCAAGCATAACTTTAAATGCTATTCCTTGGGCAATATCCAAAGGATCAGACTCCATATTGAACACCTTTGCTCACTGTAAACTATGCAGTATCTAGATAAGTGCTGAATACATAAATAGATTTTTATATTGATGTCAAACCCAGACACCTACAGGTGACTGCAGCTATTGGGTATCAAAGATAGAAGTCAATTTCTGAAGACCTACTTTGATAACACAATTATCCTTTTTGATGCATAAAACTTGAATAGGACTCTGGGAATTAGCAACATAAAAATAATGTCAGTGATGAATTTAAAATATTCCCCAAACATGGAATTATAAGGAAGCCTTGGGAGAGGTCTTGTACTGAGCTTGGATCTTTCCACAGTTTTTAATTCTGAGTATTAGATTTTTCATAATCTCCAGTGGTTACTTGGCAACTGCTGTGGGCTATTGGATGACCCATCTGGGCAGCACACAGCTCCTGCCACAGGGCAGGACCCCTCTGCTGCACGTGGGGCATCCTGACTGCCCATGCTGCTCCTATTTTATAACTGCAGATCTCAAACAATGAACAATGCTTGATAGTCATCGACCTGATTTCAAAAATGGAGTAACTGTGATGCAATGAGATGAAGAAACTCACTCGATACCATTGAATCAATTGATGTCCATGCAAGGATTAGACACATTTCCTCATTCTTGGTGCCATTTGTAACTTACCACAAAAGAACACTAAACCCACTTCTTATGGCCATTCTCCATGCTTCAACAGACCATGGCATCAAAGGACTAAGCAATACATCTTCACTTCTCTCAGTTTGTTTTCTTTAAAGAATGACTGTTATGAGAGAAAAGAGGGCTTCAGCAGCTGCAGGAAAGAGCCCTCACTGTGCATTCTTTCACCCGTACTTCCTCTCACATTCTGCCTTTCTGTTCCCTCACTGCCCTCCTGAAGAACCCTGAGTCCAACCAAGTGTTAATGCCTGCAGTGACATTGCTATGGATCAGATTCTGATCACTTTCATCATTAAACCCTTTTGTTAGTGTGAACCAGCATTCTGTCTAGTGAGATTGCTTATTGACCAGAATGTCACTGCTGTACAGTACCCAGCTTTGGATTTGCAGATCTCCAAATGTCTTAATTTACAGTGTGCTACTCCCTATAAACATGAGTTTAAAAAAGAGGGATTGTGCTGAAGTCATGATCCTACCAGAAGCACCCTGTGAGGAAGCTTTTTCTTTTCCAGCTGAGTGGGCCAGTGGCAGTGAGCCCTGCAGCAGAGCATGCTCAGGTGGAACAAGGGCCAGCAGGCGTTACCAGGCTGTGGGGTTCATTTTAGTATTTCAGCAAGAGGAGTCTGAAAAGTGTCAAGTCTAATGATTTACAAAGTGAAATCAGGGTTACAGGGATCCTACCTGTGTGCAACTGTCAATGAGTCATAGGAGGAAGCAATCCACAGTCCATATTCCACAGGGAAAAGCCATATGGACTTGTCACTTGGGGTTCTTTGTACAGAATGCAGGTCCCTGTCAGGTTCCTGTCACTGGCTCTATTTCACATCCCACAGCTTGTCTTTGGGAGCAAAATTCCAGACCTACCCAGTTCTACCTTCACTGATTTCAGCTGGTGTGCCTTCAGTCACACTGCGGCGTCAAAGCCCTGCCCGAGTGTGGCTCTGGCTTGCAGCCCTCCAGGTCTGTGCTGGAGAGCTTTGACCAGCAGCTCTGGGAGCCCCATGGCTCCGTGCCAGCCAGCAGCACTGACCATCCTCAGAGGCTTACTCTGAACCCAGCACATTCCTGCTGGCACAGGAATGAGAAAGCAATTCTGATAGGGAAAGATATAAACAGAAAATGTGGGAGGGAACTGAAAGCATCTCTCTTCTCCTTGCACAACTTCAGCTCCAGCTTTCCAAGTTTCTGCTGTTCATCACCTCTTCTGTGTGTCTGGGTGACCACTGGGCACTGCACGGGTCAGTGCCACGGATGGAGGCAACCCCACCAGATTTCCCCTGAGAAAAAGCCAAAGCCCAGTTGTGCTGTTCCTGTGTCTGGTTTGTGTGTGCTGCATTTTGTGCAGATCCCTCCCCAGCCTGACCTGGCAGCTGCCACGCCACACGTGCTGCAGAGCAACACCTGAACCTCCACCGGTTCCCTTCAGGTGCTGTCAGGTTCATGCAAACAACAGCAAGTGGGACTGTGGGTGGAAAAACACCCAACAATCCCCCTCTCCTTGTTTTGGAGGGAGTCTCTATATCCTGACTAGTCCCCACAGAGACCACAGCTCCTCTTCTTGGAGACAATTCCATGTTGAGAGCTTTTAATGACTTTCAGATGTCTTAACAGAATACAAGCCCTTGAAGAGAAAATTCCTAGTCTTAACTTGCAGAATTTATGAGCTAATTTTTATCCATATGGAATTATTTATAGCGCAACTGAGGAAAAAAATCCTCCAAATGATGATGCTGAGTATATCACCTCTTTGCAATGCATTACTAAAGAGTTCCCACACCATTTAACACCTACAGGACAATTCCACTCATCAAAATTCTCATGGAGAATCTGTTAGGGCTTGCCATGAAACAGGTAATTACTTTGGGAATCCTAGTAGTGAAATTTAATTATTGTGGTATTTTTCATTTAACCCAGTAGTTTGTATCACTTCCATCAGTTTACTCTGACAAATGTCAGAACATTCACTTCCCTAAATGTTCTGTTTTCCCTTTTTTCTCAGGCTCCAAAACCTGACCTCTGAAAATGGTTTGAATTTGCAAACCCGATACACACTGAGATCACTTCTTCAGCATTAATGAAGGACAGGTTGTGCCTTTTAATCATGTTTATAATGGAAGTGCTCAATTATAAAATAATAATAACAATACAAAATGCAGGTCCTCATAAACAACTATTATTTGTCTACCCCAAACACTTTTAGTTGTGCTTAGCAAGCTCTCAATTTCTGATGATTCTATTTTAGTGGATTTCAGCAGAACTACTTATATAAGATTTAAAACAAAATTAACAGCAGAAAAGCAGAGATTTACATGAAGAGAATTTAGGTTTATATTCACCACATCATTTTAGTGTCTGGCAGCAGGAGTATTTCAGTGGATGCAGTCACAGACGTTGATAGTAGCAGTACAGTTGGATGAGAAAAGCAAGAATTAGCCACAGAAGTAGTATTTTTTTGTGTGTGTATTTTGCATACAGATTCCATGTGGAGACAGGGAATCCATCAATCCCCTCTCTGCTACAAACCTCACATTTGTTCTTTTGTAGCAAAATTAGAGCTAATCCAGACTGTAAGTTTTCTGAAGCATGTTTATGCAGAAAAGGCCAGGGAACCAGTTTTGGCTGACTGCTGTCTCATGTCCTGCATGATGTGGTAGCAATAGAGCTGTCAAAAATTGCTCAGAACTTAAATATGTACATGTTTCCCCGCACCTTTATTTATCCAGCTCTGATCTCTGCTTTTGAATTCCTGCTTTGCAGGAAAAGGGGAAAGAGGGCATTGCACTTCTGGAAGTGAAATGTGAGGGGTGCAGGTACACATTCCCCTTGGAACCTGAGCATCCCACAGACCCAAGCAGATGGCTCCTTAGCACAGATCCCATCACTCCAAACAACCAGGACTCCCTGGGATGTCCATTTAAATAGGCCATCTAAACATCATTATTATGGAGTTGCAATGGCTTTAATGTCTACTCTGTAGAGAAGTATTACATAAGTCCTTTAGGAACTCAGTCCTGAAAATAGATTTATAACTATGGATCAAATTGTGCCACATAGTACTTATTTAAAATATCTGACAAACTCTCTGAAGTTTGTCTATGTTCCCTTTTTTGCTTAGACAACATATTAAAAACAAATGCCCTGCCATTATTCATGCTTTTAACACTGAGATGTAATTGATAAAGCTGGTGAAAAGTCGGAAGAATGGTTTATACATAAAGCAAAGTGATTACTTACTGTTCAAAGCAGAAATTTTCAAGAAAATGAGAAACCTAGATTCTAGGAAATCCAGCCATGAATTATTGAAAAGTCCATTAAAATAAAACCATGCCAATCAGAAATATTCCAGACACACCAAGTATATCAAAGAGATGTGGATTTTCTCCAATATTGATATCACACTTTACTTAATATGAGTTTGAAATAAATGAGAGAGTATGCTGCTGAACGCCACAAGAGCTCTCTGAAACCGTTCACATTTCTCTCTTTACTAGGTTAAATGAAACCTGATCTGGATTCCACTTGATCATAAGACTGGAATGCTGAAAATGCTGTAATCTATTTATACATCAAATTGAAGAAACATTGCATGTCTTTAAATTTCACTGCATTCCAGTGTATTAGCTAAACAGCAACAGTTTACAAACTGTTTCACATTCAAACTGAGAAAAAGACAGACCAACATAACTTATTTATCCTAAAGCAGGATTGATTTCCTGGCTTTAAAACTGTGGCCCAAACCCAGGTCTGCTCTGTGCCTTCACTAAAGCCTCGTTCTTGCAGCAGCAATTTATCATTAGTGCCAAAATATGGTAGTTGCCTTATGATGACTTCCAAATCCACAGTTCTTTTTTAGCATCAAGAGCAATCCCAAACTACAATCCCAAACTAGATTTGCAGCTCAGATTTTGTCCATACTTCTCTTCCCTCTGCCTCTAAACCACAAATGGTTCAAAATGCAGCAGACAGCAAGGCTGAGAACAACTGTGGTAAATAAGAGCAGCCAAATCCCACAGATGAAATCCATACAGGGGCTTATTCAGCCCGGGAGGTATTGGCAGTAACCCATCCACCAAGAGACCACCTCAGGCCCCCCAGTGGAACAGCAGTCTGCACAGAATGCTGTCATTTCCCTCAGTTATTTGCAGAATAATTTACAGGACAGTGGTGTTTGACCCATCATTCTGACTAGAGGAGCTGCTCCTATTCAAACACCACAACTGTGTGCAGCACAAGATCTACAGAAAAAGTAAAGGTGCCCATCATGAAGAAGAGCCTAATTGCCAAAGGCCTGTCTGTTGATTTGTACAAATGTACATCCTAGATTTTAACATTCTCAGTAAAGAAAGACACACCTGCCACTAACATTTGATGGGTTTTGCCACTGACTTGAGAGGGGTCAGGATCAGGCTAAAAGCTGCTGATGGTATTTCATAACATCTATTCATTTCTACTTGCTCTTTCTATGTGTTTCAATGTGTGAAACAGTGTCCATCTTTCTCACTTGTCATTCCTATTTTTTTTTCATTAGTTGTTGGATTTAGTGCTTATTATTTCCCATGTAGAAGACTATGAACACTACAAAGACAAAAAGAGCAATTTTTTTAGAGTCAGGGGAGAGGAAAATTCTGTGCTCTTTGTCACATGAAACTTTAAGAGCCTGAAGCTAAATACTGCAGTACTATTCATGGTTCTCTGGATAGTTAGTGGCCTTTATAAATGCAAAAATCCCACTTAGACATTCAAATAACTGATTTGCCATTTTCTGTGCCCTTCTTCCCTCCAGCAGTCTGTAACCTGGTATTTGTCTTCCAGGTCTTGTGTCTTACAGCTTGAAATTCAAAAGAACTTCAAATTCAAATTACAATTGCATCTCAGTTGGGATTGTGACTATTTGGGGTAATTTAGAGGAGTCTTAAAAACAAGAATAATTTGAGTCAATGTCTTACTGTCTAGAACCACAAGTTTCATAAAAAGGAAAATGTACAGTTTACAGTAAGGAATTTCTATACTACTGTTTATTTTAAAATTTATAGTTAATGCAGGATTTGATATGGGTCATCAGAAACAGAGTGCACTCTTAGAATACCCAGTTTTTAGTAACTCCTAAATTTCTCCTCAAATTTGAAAAGACCCTAGGGAAAAATAAACTGCTTGTCACTTGTTCATTACTGTGCCAGTATGTTACTATTGCTAAGACAGTATCAGATGGCCTGACTAAAATTTAGGTCTCAGTACTCAACACACAAAAGAATGGTAAGTGGAGCCCTCAGCAGTTCTCTGTATCTGCAGATAAAGCAGATGATAGATGGGAGAGAAAAAAA